CATGTACCAACTGAAGCAACACCTCTTTCCTTTTTGCCTTCTCTGTAGTTCACTCCGTTTGTTCATTTTGTGTCTTAGCACCAAATATGAGATCATTTGAGTCAGCTTCTGCAATTTGTTCTTTTGCTGATGGCCCATCTTGTGGTCACTGCTAATCTTTGTTTCTGGAGAGCGCAGTTTGCTATTTAGTTCAGGCTGGCCTTGAACTCACAGTGAGCCTCCTGCCTCAGTCTCCTGTGCACTGTCACACCCTGCTACACTGCTAATCTTTGTGCATGTAGTTCTCCAGTGATTTTCATATTGTCTGTGTCAGCCAGCATGTGCTGCTAGCTGCAGAGTCCTTATTGAGGTCTTCATAAAATGGGCATCTACCACCTTTTAGCCGTTATATAAACATATGTGTGTAAGTCATCATGTTCTGTTGGCTGCATACTTTATACTTGTAGGCTCCTTTCACTCCATGACAGTCTTCTGTTATTTTTAGGTATAATCTCATTTACCCCCTTTCTCCCTTTCTTACTTTTGAGTCTTATTTAAAATTCTGTGAATCCTTGTAAAAACTCAGGGGTTTTTTACCATGCTATTCATTACCCCCTTATATTGAGTCAAAGCATGGCTGAATATTGTAATCCCTTGAGATTTAAAAATTAGCAGTGCTTGGAGTTCATTCACAGAGAGTCTGTTGTAGTTATTCTGAGACATCAAAAGCTCTGCGTAGTCACTATGCGTCGAGGGTTAGACTGGTACGTGAAGCTGGAGCACAGAGCTCACTGCCCACGGTGTGGCCTGTGGACCAGCAGCACCAGCATCCTCTGTTAGAGACAGAGCTCTGCGCCCCACCCAGACAGCCACAGCAAAGGCTGTGCTTCAGCAAGACTCTGGGGCAGTTGGTTACATGCTTTAAAATGTGAAAAGCCCTGTTCTGAAACCTTCACTCATTTCCTTGACCTGCTTTCCAAACTGCTGCTATAACCTCACTCTTTTCTTTTACAAATCTAAGCTTGTGCTGGCCGTTGTACCTGCTTCACAAGTCCAGCTTTTTTATTTTAAAACTGAGGGTTTTAGAGAGAATGTTCTTTGGTACATTTCAAATTCATGTTGCAGAGGGTTTGTGGGTTAGCTCAATTGTTTAAGCGCCTACTTGGGCAAACCCAGTCAGGCATGGGGGACTGCAGTTCGATCCTCAGACCTGGCCCTAAGGCAGCCTGAGCCAGCGCCCCCCGCAAAAAAAATCCTCCTCAAATTCATGTTGCCAAAACTCAGGGAAGTCACACTGTGTGGGAGGCCCTGGATCCAACCTAGTGTCTTTAGGACACTTGGAAATTAGTGTTACGGCTGCAGGGCTGCAGGGCTGGGGCCCTCCCTTGTCCCTCACGAGCTTGCTTCCCCAGTGTGTGGCTTTGGCTGTTTTTTCCTTTCTGACCCTCAGCAAAGAGTTGTTGCACATCAGAGGATTCAGCAAGCACACTCACTTCCCCTTGGTTCTGACTTCCCGTTACAGCAGACAGTTTCTCAAGACAGCCCTGCATACGATAAGGTCTAGCATAGGAGACTAGAGCAGGTTGTTTGGCAGCTGAATTTGCCCCAGGAAGCGGGAAAGCCTTTTTCCTGAAGGACAGGATATAGAGATTGTTTAGAGAGGACTTTTTTTGTGTGATCTTATGGAAGGTAGAGGTTAGAGAGAAGCAAGTAGAAACTTTGCCCTGACTGTTGGTAAATCCCGACTGCCCATTTCCATTCTCTATAGTGCTCTGCCTATGTGTCATCCATCCTGACGTCGCTTGCTCACCTCTAGTGCTCATGCGTAAGCCTGCTTGGTGCACCCCCCTTTGCTCCTTTGATTTCTTTCTGGTGCTCACCTGATGGCTTGACTGGTTGGTGCAAAGTGGGCTGGGTGCGGGAAGGCTGCTGACCCTGTTCTGTGACCTCCACCACGCCGGTGCCTGTGGTAATTGTTCCCAGTTGAGGGCAGTCCTGGCGTGATTTACATACAGGAAGAGCCCTGATATGTTGGGCCAACTGAGATCTTCTTTCCTTGCTTTTAAAGATATCAGTTATCGTTGGGGAAGGAGCAACTTTGTTGAGCTACATTTTAAGTACATCTTCAGCAACCATACTTTTTGCTGGGCAGAGAATTTGCTGTTGTTCATTATTTTGACCTCATGGTAGGTGATAGACACTGCTGCTGCAATAATTTTCTGCTATTCTCCTGTGCTCTCTGGAGAATTTGATGAGAATATTTACAGCTCCCTTCTGTCTGGTGGATTGCTACAGGAATACCTGTTACTCCTTCATATCTGGGTCATCACCCACTAAACTGGGGCACCAGGTATTGCTGCTGATTTATCAGTGACACTTTAAAACTATACCAAGCAAGTAATGATTTGCCAAGACAGATTGAGGTATAAGGTTTGGAAAAAGCCAGATAGCTCATATGTTAAAATTGTGAAGGAAGGCTGAGGCAGGAGGATTCTTGCAACTTTTAGACCAGTGTAGGTTACAAAGTGAGCTCAGGGCCATCCTGAACTGCATAGCAAGACCTTGTCTCAAAAAGACCAAATAAATAAATAAATAAATAGTGAAGGAGGCTGAAAGTGGAGGGAGTCCTAGGAAACAGCTGGGGAGCCTCATAGGCCTTCTAAAGATCTAGTTCAGCCTTTCTTCTCTCCTCTTACAGAGCAGCTCCTCTCCCCTCCCTGGAGCATCCAGGCAGGTGCGGATCAAGGCTTCCCAGTCCACGGGGGATGTAAATGCCGCCTACCAGCCCCCAGAGCCCAGAAGCAGGCACCTCTCTGTCAGTGAGTATTTTACTCCCTTCCTTGTCCTCATCAATTTTATCTGCTCACATTTTGAAAATTCCAGCAAATATATATTAAAACATCATCAAATACATATTGTCTACCATTCTATGCTGAGTAAACTTTCGTTTTGGCAGGGAGAAGGGGTAGGAAAATGATTAGAATAACAGACTTCCAGGATTTTACAGTATTAGGATGTAATTGTGTGACTACATTTCTTTCAGACATCCCCTCACAAGTCTATGTGAAGCCTTCCAGCAAAGTAGCCACTAATTTTTGACCATTCTTTCCCCAGAAGACTGGGTACTTAGGAGTCAGGTCTCAATTTGAATTTTGACTTCAGACCTCTCATGATACCAGGGAAGTCCTTATGCTTCTAGAAAGATGCTGGCTAGTGAAACTCCAGAGAGTTGTCTTAGGTTATCTGAGAAGGATGGAGTGTTGACATAGTATATATGATTGGCTGACTAGTGGGACAGCTGCCAAGCTGCCCCAGAAAAAGAGCCTGAGTCAGATGTGTGCACAGCATTACTCTGGAGCCCTTCCCCTCAGTTGTTAGCAAGAAAGCCCAGTTGTTGCATTATGAGATTTTTATTAAGAGGGAGATCTGGCCTTAGCAAACCTTACGGTTGTACCTGCTGCCCTAATAGTGATACCCTCCAGTTGCCAGGAGGCCACCTTTGCTATTTCCCATGAAGAGTAGGCGTGCACCACACTGAGCTGCTCCCTAAAGACTCAGCTGTGCTGAGGCAGACTCACCCTGCCTGCTCCTCAGCTGCCAGGACGGAATGGGGAGATGTGTGGTAGTCCCTGGCTTGGCCCAAGCAAGTGCTGGCCGCAAGTGTTACTAGGTGCAATGTGTATAAGTGAATTTCACATTTCTGTAGATAATCGGTGGATTTGTTTCCCTTTGGCTGATTAAGGAGAGAGAGCCATCACCCTAGAAAGCATCCTTGGAATATAGGAGCTGTGGGACCTGGGAAGAGGGCAGAGAAGTGGTACAGAGCCAGGCGTGGGCTAGGGATTTGATTTCTAACGGGGAAGAAGCTAGGGCGTGGCTGAAGACTTAGGTGGCTGGGACGGGGACACTATTCCCTGTTGAAAGCACTAAGGCCACCTTAGGGTTTTGCATGAGGGACCCTGGATGGCCTTACATGTCTAGACATGCATTTTTAAAAATGATTTCTCTGTTCTGGAGTAGAGAACAGATTGGAGAGGATGAGAATGAACACCTAGGGCAGTGATGACAAAGCTTTAGCGCTTTCAGTGGTGACAGTCGGCTGCTGCTCATGTGCCTCCAGCTCGCAGCCACTGACTTGGGGAAACCATATTAGGCTAGTGTAGTAGTAGTTCAGGTGAAAGAAAACAGGAGCCCAGCCTAGGCTCCTTCAGTAATGAAGAGATGAGAAGCTAGAGGGTTTGCGACATGCAGAGGTAAACTGACAGAACGTGGCCTTTCAGTGGTTCTTAAAGGGTCACATGGGGACCCTGGGGAGTCTAAGATCCTTTCAGGGTATCTATGAGGTTGAAATTAATTCGTAATCATACTAACTGATAGTCATCCTCTTACAAATGTACAGCGGAGTTTTCCAGAGGTTATGTGCCTGAGGTGTTGTCCACTCTGAATGGAATGTGTCATATATTATGTTTTAAAATTTTCAGGCCTTTAAGATTTTTTTTTCCTGAACTTAACTGGTGTGATGGTGCCTGCCTGTCATCCTAGCCACTCTGGAGGCTGAGGGCAAATTAGCAAGACTCTTTCTCAAAATAAAAAAAAAGGACTGTGAGTGTAGCTGAGTAGAACCTGAGTTTGAGCCCCAGTGAGGGTAGTGGTGGATTTCTGAGCTTGGACTGAAGTGTAGTTCAGTGGTAGAACATTTATCTACCATACATAAGGCCTTGGGCTTGATCCTTAGCAACACACAGACACACAGCGACACATACTCAAACACACACACGGGAAGTCCACCAAACATGTACACACACTTCAGCAGTGTACTGTACTAATCAAGGTCTGTAAGCTCACGGCCACCTCTTTGAGCCCCTTTTGTAATTATAGAGGCCAAAGGCAACTTGTCGTAATCTCAGTACCTTTAGTGTTAAAGTACTTACACAAATTTTTCTTTTTTTGATGTATACATTTTTGGCAGAATGAATGTATTTGTGTGTGTACCCAGGCTGGCTTCAAACTCAGATCTTCCTGCCTTATGTTCTCAAGTGCTGGGATTAAGGCATGTACCACTGTGGCTGGCCTAATTTTTTTCTTGAGCTTTAATTCCTAATATGTTATTGTTGTTGGGGCTCAGAAAATGATACTCCAAAGCTGGCATGGTGGTGTACCCCTCTAATTGTAACACTTAAGAGGCTGAGGCAGGAGTATTGCCAGGAGTTTGAGGACAGCTTGGGTTACCCAGTGAAGTCAGAGCATGAACTACATGGCAAGACCCTGTCTCAAAAACAAAATCATGCTGAAGACTTGGGATTGAAGGACAATGGAAGGGCATTAGAAACAAAGCCTCTGACCTTTTGGCCTCCTGTGTCCTGTTCTCCTATATCCTTCAAGGGAGACTATGGAACTGCTGTTCTCTTTTCCTAAGACAAGTCATGGAAATTAGAGCCTTTCACCTTCAGAACCAGGCCTAAAGCCTCCACTATGTCTGTAACTTCCCCACCATTCTGTGGAAGAGCTGGCTATAAGGAAATTCTCTGACCTTTTCTGACAGTAGGTCGTGAGACTCACTCCAGAGAGGTGTTGCCCTTTACTTGGTTGGAAGGAATACCACTTAGAGACGCCAGAAGGCATCAGGACAGGCCTTGTCGGATCTCCCGCCTCCATCCTATCCTGGGAGGTGCCCATTTGTCCAATCACATTTTTGCGCTGTTGTTTATTCTTCATTGTATCTAACCGTGTAAAAGCATAGTTTTCCCTGGGTCTTTGTATCTTTATTCTGTGTTTTTTATTACCAGTCGTAGTACATGTTTGTGGCACATAACTCAGTACTTTCATCATGGGAAGTGGGTACGTGTATCACATCTTAATCTTTTTTACTTTCCTCCCCTCGTCATCTCTTTGTCCTCTAATCCTAGGTCCCCTTTCCAGCTGCAAGAGGTCTCCTTCCTTGTTTCCTATAATATTTTATTTTCTCCTTTATTTATAGTCTCGTGTAAGAGAAATCATCTGATATTTAACCTAATGTGTGATTTATTTCACGTGGCATTACAGTCTCATGTCTTTTCCTACACATGCCTCCTATGTATCCTTTATGGCTGAATTGTGCTCCACGGTGCATAAATACCACGTTTCCTTCATCCATGCATCATTCGAGCAACATCAGGCCACATCCAAGATTTAACTATTATGAATTGTTCTGCTTCAAATATGGGTGTGCATGTGTCACTGTCCTATGATGTCCTGTGATTTAACTCTTTGGAGAATGTATCTTCATTTTGAAGGACTTTTTAAAAAAATTATGTATTTATTTATTTGGTAAGGGTCTTGCTACGCAGCTTGGACTCATAGTGTCCTTCTGCCTCAGTCTCCCCAGCGCTGGCCTTACAGGCATGCACCATCCTGCCTGGTTTTGGTGGCCAGGATGGCATGCAGTAACAGGGGTCAAACCTGGGTCCTTGCACTTGTCAGGCAGGCGCTTAGACCACTGAGCTATCTCTGTAGCCCATTTCTTGAAGGACTTTTATGTCGTGTAAAATTTTTATTAAATTGAGTAGTTGTGCTTTTTTTTGTTAACCTATCTTTTGTTCTAGGGATGTCCACTGTGACTCTTAAAAGAGGGAAGGAGTGGTGTTGCATTCTTCCCGTGCCTACAGTTTAACCCACATACATAAAGGCTCTTAAATGTTAAAAGGATTCTAAAGTCAGAAGGCTTGAGAGCTACTGTGGTACTGGGTTGAATTTTTAGGTGTCTAGAGAGAAATTCAACTGCAAGGTACCGAAGAGATGCTGGTCTCGGGCACTAGGAGGGAGAAGCCTAACGTTTTAGGCCGGTTCGGACATTGATGCACCTTTCAGATGGCTGCGATGCTCTAGCAAATGAGCAGCGAGTGTACAGGTGCATGGCTCAGCGGGGAGAAAGTGAGCACTAGGGAAAGAAGTGGCAGTCGTCAGCTTGAGGTCACCGGCGCAGAGAAGTGTGTCTAAGCAGGCGACGGAGCAGGAGGGGGGCTGGGACCTCCAACTCTTATGCCCAGGTAGAGGCGGAGAGGGTGAGACGCCACAGAAAGAAGAAAATCAGAGTGGACGCCACAGAAAGAAGAAAATCAGAGTGGGGTGGGGTCTGGCCAGTGAGATGGGAAAGGACAGCGGGTGAGGCACACAAAGTTGTCATGTGTTCTTTTTCATCTTTTTATCAATAGATGTCTGTAACATAATAAATACTTTCGTTATAGGGAGTTAGTACCTACACACAGTGGGCCCTTTCACTCCCCCTCCCCTGCTCTGCTCCCTACGGCCCCATCCATCCCCAATCCCCTTTCTGTCTCTACAGAGCCCAATCTCCCTGTTTCCTATCATTTACCTTTTATTTTGTGCTGTAGGTGATTTATACTGTGGGTTTCTCATTTCAAGCTTCTCTGTCTGATTTATTTCACTTAGTTTTATCATTTTCATCCACAAATGTCTGAGTGCTTGCTATGAACCAATTAAGGCTGAAAGTAACCTGCCACGAAGGAATAGGGCAAGTCCTAGCAGTAGGAATGAAGTCAAAGGAGCGCTCGTTGGTCAAAAGCTTAGGGGCTGAGCCTCCTGTCCGTTCTTGCCTTTGCCCTCCTCCACTGTGAGCACACCTGTGACTCTTCAGAAAGAGGCTCTGGGTGCAGATCATTCAGCTCCACCGCAAAGCATGCACAGCTGGAGAAGTTCAGTGGGCCAGTTCAGCTTCGGGCATCCCCATTCAAATTTGCCTCATAGTAAATGAGAAAATTTGCCTTTTCTGACTTTACCAATTGATTTTAGTCTACCGCTGCCCCTTGAGACTTGTTCTACT